TATTAATTAAAATAAGATTTTTAAAACATAATTAAAACAGGTCTTTGTACTATATTATTAAAAAAAACAACTAATGAATATAATAAATAATTTTGACTATTTCTCATTCTAAACCTATCGAATATATTTTTTTTTTAAAATGCAAGGTAATCTTTTATAGAACCTACATGATTAACTGTTCTTCTAATAATTAAAAAAAATCTCTAAATAAAAACTATTATTCCTACAAATATTAGAGTAGTCTCCCTTGACAGTTTCTATTCGAATGTATTTTGTGTTAATTTTCGTTATGAAATACAGTTGACTTTTTAAATTAATTATATAAGAAAACAATATATCTCTGTGTATATTTATTTTAAAAAATATTATTACAATAATTAGAATAGGTGTTTCTGGTTAAATAGCAATTATTGTCATTCTAAATCTTTGGCTATCGAGTTTCATGGGTTTTTAAATTTAAGATTATGAACACATTGGCTTGACGAAAATGATTATATACACTTAAATACATACTAACATTTACTTTTGTTAATAAACCTACACTATTTTATGCACACATACAAAAAAGAATATTTTAGCGGCAGTTACAACGTCAAAAAAAAAAAAAGGAAACTCCTTTATACTGAATAGTTCTACGTAACAACTAAAATGTAAAAGTACATAGTCCTAGAGCACACTAACACATACATATATACATACGAAGATATGTGTGTGTGTGTAAGTAGGATGTGAGGTAGGTAGACAGGCGGGGTGGAAGGAAAGCAGTTTGGCAGGAATAACGGTAGGTAGTAAAGTAGGTAGGCAGGCAGCAGCGCAGGCAGGTTAGTAGATAGGTAGGTACGTAGGCAGGGAGTTAGGTATGTAGGTAGGTGGGCCTAGGTAGGAAGGCGCCTCACTCGGTATAGTGAGCGATTATAGTAGCCCATCATATTCATAGCGTTTCGCAATTATTAAAACGAACAAAGGTACCATAGTACTCACGGGAAAACCCGGGGAGCTAAATAGAACCCTGCCGGGGCGCCACCAAATCGAATTTTTTTTTCGCAAAAACCACCACAGGGGTATTAGCATTAGCTTCTCAAATTTGAATGACAAACGAATGAAATCTTTGGTAATGCTTAAACAAACAAACCCACATATTCGTTTTTGGGGCGCGGGTTTGTCCACACTGCCGCCTAGACGCACCAAGGCTCACTGTATGAAAGCCTTGAGTGTACGTTAATCAACCTCTGTAATAGTGAGGTAGAACACACATTGGCGACCGCCCATGTGTTAGAGACGCGTCCCTTGGCGCTCCAGGGAGCCACTGGTTATACTTCTGCAGGGGCGCCCCTAATTCGATTAATTATAAAATGTCGTGTGCCGCCGTGTCCCTATTGTAGGGTGCTCTTTAAAGAGGCACTCTCGGTAGAGCCCGGGGCGCTCTCTGTCGCCAACTGCCAGGGCGCCGGCGGGCGCTCATTATTCTACTTAGTGAACATTTATAGTAGCCCATCTAAACCGTAGTGTCGCCTGAGGTGGGTCTTGGCCGCTCTGGGCCACTCAACCGCCGGGGAGCTGGCGGATGAACCTGGTGTAGTTTTATCACTGAATTTCAGAGGCGTAGCACCATTCCTGGCGCATGGGGACAAACTTTCATTTTGGCGTCCTCCCCCCGTTTTTTTTATATTTATAATGCAAAACTGTAGCTAAAATGAGCTTTTAATTTTTTTCCCACCCATTTTGGCGCCCCCTAGGGTTGGCGCCCGGGGACATATGTACCCCCCCGCCTCCCTCGCTACGCCTCTGCTGAATCTAGTATTACCTATGACCGCAATTGATGAGATAGCCCCTCTGGATTCCCCTCTGGATTCTGGGCTCATAATCGTATAATGAGAAAAATCGAACCCTCCCAGGGTGCCACACTTAAGAATTTTTTTCTTTCTCGAAACCCTTTCCACCAACTCCCCAAAATTTTATGACTCTCGTACGAACAGTGTCAAATTGCATCTGGCTTTTATTTTTATGGAGAAAAATTGCATTGCTTCCTGTCAGAGACACCAGATCGAATGGGGCGCCAAAAGGGGTAGACAATTTTTAAAAAAATCCTCATTCTTCAGTAAAATTTAAGAAAACAGATTTATACATGACTGATATCCTCAATTATTTTATATAGGGGAGTGTATGTAGGGTTGGGCGCCTTTTTGCACAGGATGGTAATTGTGTAATGGGGTAATTACACAGGATGGTAATTGAGAGGAGGTAAGTGATCTGTGGGCTAATGACCGGGGGGGGGGGGGGTTGGGCGGTTATCGCTTTGCACCAAGGTAAATTATTTCTCACACAGTTAAGGTTGAATTTTAGTTATTGCTTTTTTTTAAGCTAGGTTTTAATATTGTTAGTAATTCTGTACACATTATTTAACAGTGCTGGTGGCTTTTATTTTCGTAGGAGATAAAGAGTATGCTGTAGGTGTAGTAGATATAGAGTATGCTGTATGTGTAGTGTAGTAGATATAGAGTATGTTGTATGTGTAGTGTAGTAGATATAGAGTATGCTGTATGTGTAGTGTAGTAGATATAGAGTATGTGTAGTGTAGTAGATATAGAGTATGCTGTAGGTGTAGTAGATATAGAGTATGCTGTATGTGTAGTGTAGTAGATATAGAGTATGCTGTATGTGTAGTGTAGTAGATATAGAGTATGTTGTATGTGTAGTGTAGTAGATATAGAGTATGCTGTATGTGTAGTGTAGTAGATATAGAGTATGTTGTATGTGTAGTGTAGTAGATATAGAGTATGCTGTATGTGTAGTGCAGTAGATATAGAGTATGCTGTAGGTGTAGTAGATATAGAGTATGCTGTATGTGTAGTGAAGTAGATATAGAGTATGCTGTATGTGTAGTGTAGTAGATATAGAGTATGCTGTATGTGTAGTGTAGTAGATATAGAGTATGCTGTATGTGTAGTGTAGTAGATATAGAGTATGCTGCATGTGTAGTGTAGTAGATATAGAGTATGCTGTATGTGTAGTGTAGTAGATATATAGTATGCTGTATGTGTAGTAGATATAGAGTATGCTGTATGTGTAGTGTAGTAGATATAGAGTATGCTGTATGTGTAGTGTAGTAGATATATAGTATGCTTTATGTGTAGTAGATATAGAGTATGCTGTATGTGTTGTAGATATAGAGTATGCTGTATGTGTAGTGTAGTAGATATAGAGTATGTTGTATGTGTAGTGTAGTAGATATAGAGTATGCTGTATGTGTAGTGTAGTAGATATAGAGTATGCTGTATGTGTAGTGTAGTAGATATATAGTATGCTGTATGTGTAGTAGATATAGAGTATGCTGTATGTGTAGTGTAGTAGATATATAGTATGCTTTATGTGTAGTAGATATAGAGTATGCTGTATGTGTTGTAGATATAGAGTATGCTGTATGTGTAGTGTAGTAGATATAGAGTATGCTGTATGTGTAGTGTAGTAGATATAGAGTATGTTGTATGTGTAGTGTAGTAGATATAGAGTATGCTGTATGTGTAGTGTAGTAGATATAGAGTATGCTGTATGTGTAGTAGATATAGAGTATGCTGTATGTGTAGTGTAGTAGATATAGAGTATGCTGTATGTGTAGTAAGTAGATATAGAGTATGCTGTATGTGTAGTGTAGGAAGTTACCCGAGGTTTGATGTTTGATTCAGATCCTCATTATATTTGTGCAACAAACCGCGATATGAAACAAGTTAATAAAAAATCTAGTGACAATTTAAGCGCAATTTCCTTAATTAACATGCGTCAAGTAGACGTTATCTCTCACTAGCGACTGCCTGAGCCAGTGTGCTTGGTTTGGAACTTCACCGCTTCGCTTCTTCTAGTAGGCCTACACGATGCTCAGTTTAAAATATCATCCTAGGCCTACAAGATGCTCAGTTTAAATAATTAAAATTTTTTTTTTTTGTGACCGAACGAAAGGATATTTTTGAAAACTTTCTTCGGCAATATTGGTCTAAATTATGGCAGGAATCGATTGGTAAATGTTTCAAGTCGCTAAGTGGTCTGGTTGCCGAGATATGGAGCAAAAACTGCATTTGTTCGAGGTTTTTTGGCTTTTCCGGGAAATCCAGGAAGGAATTCCGGGAATTTATTTGGCCCACAAT